TTTTAAATGGACTATATAGGGGTCATACCTTTTGGCGGATGGATATGGAACCTCATACCTTAATGTGTTATGACATCACACTGATTTTTGTCTCTGCAACTTTTTTTGGCAGAAAATATCATTTCTAGTTCAAAAATGCATAAAAACGTCGGAAATGGCTGAATATGTGAAAAATTTATCCATTTAGGCTAGAAAGGGTTAATTTGCCCTACCCCAAATACGTCTAAATATGCTGGTCTAACTTTGCCACTGTGACGTCACAAATCTAACCTGACTATCTCTGAGTTTATTGAAGAAAATGATACGTCTGACAAACAGCTTTCATTCCCTATATGGCACACCTTCTACTAAGAGTTGCATCATTGACTAAATCTAAGACAAAGGGCCTGTGTCCCGAGGATTTTGACTGAAATTTGGCCATTTTCGCCCAACTCTAACTAAATTGCAGTTTCCCTCACACCTGTATTTTGAAATAAATATTGCTACAACGTAGCAATTTGAAAATCACACATGCTTACTGTTTCTGTCGACCTGACACGTGTATCTAGCCTGTAAAAATGAAAAATCGCTACATTGTAGCAATTTCACTGAGATATGGGCCCTGAAAATCATGTAATTTTAGCAAAAAATGAAGAAATAACCTGCAATTTTGACGGAATTTCAGAAGGCTTTCTTTCATTCCAGACCCTCCACGGGCCTCTTATGACCATTCTTATACTCACAGAATGGTTGAAAGTGATTTCAAATCATTGTTTGCCCTACGCAGAACGAAAAAATCGATTCTGTTCTCAAAATCTGCTAGAATATTGGTCTCTGGCCAACTAGCAGACAATTTTAGGCCTCATATTAAGGTATGAGTACCGTAATCCAACACCAAATTCGAAAATTCATAACAATACTTTGCACATATGGCGTTCGTGACCAACTATAAAACGCTTACCCCCCATAGTGTTATATATCAAAATGTACCTGTTCATATAGGGGTTCGATTGATCTACATCAAATTATAGGGAGTCAGGTTACTTTTTGAGATATCAGCGTCCATTTATTGTGACTCGCGTTTGCTACCACTTCCTCAATTCTGATATGATGGGCAAACGCGTAGTAAACATGCTCACGTCGGAACTATTTTTGACCTACATCGCTATTTTCGTAATTCAAATGAAAGTTGAACTCCTCCTCTTTATTTTGATACCAAATAGTGGCATACTAGGTACCCTAGAAGCCAACTATGGCGTTATTTAGAACAAAACCACAAGTTTTTAAATGGACTATATAGGGGTCATACCTTTTGGCGGATGGATATGGAACCTCATACCTTAATGTGTTATGACATCACACTGATTTTTGTCTCTGCAACTTTTTTTGGCAGAAAATATCATTTCTAGTTCAAAAATGCATAAAAACGTCGGAAATGGCTGAATATGTGAAAAATTTATCCATTTAGGCTAGAAAGGGTTAATTTGCCCTACCCCAAATACGTCTAAATATGCTGGTCTAACTTTGCCACTGTGACGTCACAAATCTAACCTGACTATCTCTGAGTTTATTGAAGAAAATGATACGTCTGACAAACAGCTTTCATTCCCTATATGGCACACCTTCTACTAAGAGTTGCATCATTGACTAAATCTAAGACAAAGGGCCTGTGTCCCGAGGATTTTGACTGAAATTTGGCCATTTTCGCCCAACTCTAACTAAATTGCAGTTTCCCTCACACCTGTATTTTGAAATAAATATTGCTACAATGTAGCAATTTGAAAATCACACATGCTTACTGTTTCTGTCGACCTGACACGTGTATCTAGCCTGTAAAAATGAAAAATCGCTACATTGTAGCAATTTCACTGAGATATGGGCCCTGAAAATCATGTAATTTTAGCAAAAAATGAAGAAATAACCTGCAATTTTGACGGAATTTCAGAAGGCTTTCTTTCATTCCAGACCCTCCACGGGCCTCTTATGACCATTCTTATACTCACAGAATGGTTGAAAGTGATTTCAAATCATTGTTTGCCCTACGCAGAACGAAAAAATCGATTCTGTTCTCAAAATCTGCTAGAATATTGGTCTCTGGCCAACTAGCAGACAATTTTAGGCCTCATATTAAGGTATGAGTACCGTAATCCAACACCAAATTCGAAAATTCATAACAATACTTTGCACATATGGCGTTCGTGACCAACTATAAAACGCTTACCCCCCATAGTGTTATATATCAAAATGTACCTGTTCATATAGGGGTTCGATTGATCTACATCAAATTATAGGGAGTCAGGTTACTTTTTGAGATATCAGCGTCCATTTATTGTGACTCGCGTTTGCTACCACTTCCTCAATTCTGATATGATGGGCAAACGCGTAGTAAACATGCTCACGTCGGAACTATTTTTGACCTACATCGCTATTTTCGTAATTCAAATGAAAGTTGAACTCCTCCTCTTTATTTTGATACCAAATAGTGGCATACTAGGTACCCTAGAAGCCAACTATGGCGTTATTTAGAACAAAACCACAAGTTTTTAAATGGACTATATAGGGGTCATACCTTTTGGCGGATGGATATGGAACCTCATACCCCAATGTGGCCCAAATGCCCTAATACGTCACTTCCGCTGAATAGAAAAAAGTAGTATTCAAAAATAAATGTAGTCCCAACACAATTGTGATCATGACGAGTCAGTAAGCTAGTATGTAGGCATAGTTGTAATCTTTTTGCAATGGCAACATGCCATTTCTTCTGAAAATGCGTTTATTTGGGTTATCTGAAGGAAAATTTCGAGTCAAGTGGCGTATTAATTTTGCCTTCATTTTTGTGAATTTCAATTTGTGTCTGCAGAGAGAGGGGGTAGTGTCACAATTGACCAATTATTTCAAAAAGTAGATGATTGGCCCCTATTGAGTTTAGTGTCAAGATGTAGCTTAGACATAGCTTTAGAACCTCAGATAGGCCAGTGAGGCCACGTAAATCCATAACTCGAGATAAAAAGTCAGGCGTTTGCCCTTTTGCCCATTGACTAGTATGGTGACGTGAATTAGGGCAGTTTTGCCTATTAGTCACATGTGAAAGTGACCAAAATTTTTTAAAACTACTCAGAATCGCCCAGAATTGAAGTTTATTAGTGTGAAACATATTTTGGACGGAGGCAAAAAGGGGAATTTTCATGAACAAATTTAATGTTTTTGCTGAATCAGCAGTTTTCGCTTTTTACCCCAAAAACCACTGATTTTGACGATATTTGGCTACAATTTTGTCCTTAGTGACCCCTAAATGTCATTTGTTGTCGTAAATGGGGAAGCCAACGAGTTGCTATTCATCATAAAGATTGAATTTTCCATCTTATGGTTTCCAGTATAGAAAGAAGGTACATATCGGGGTTGCAGTCAGAAATTGGTGAGTTAAGTGTCAATTTTTGATGTATTTGTTCACTCTGAATGACTACATTCGAGCTAAAAATATCTCAAAAGTCCCAATTCTCTAGGCCAGAGTCAAAACTGATCAAATTTGTCATCATTTTTCAAATCAGGAGGTTGTTGAATGGAATAAAGTATGAAAAAGTGATGATTTTAGTAAGATTTTGCCAAAAAGTGGGCCAAATTTGTCCAATTTTCTGGTTCACGGTTCAGTGATTTTGGCTAAAAATCGCAATATGCAATAAAATACTCAATTTCTTGACACGATACTGAAAAATGTCACCATCAGGCAGTGGATTTCATGATGTAAATGAAAAACTAGTCAAATTTAAAGGAAAACCATTGGGTTCTTGGAAAAATGACCCCAGGGGTAATGAAGTAGCCATATTTCTCATAATTGCTGTCAGAATATTCTTAAACTGCACAAAACTACTTGAAAAACTCTAGTAAATTGGAAAAAACGCAATTTAAAGCCAGAAATCATCCAACCATGTGGCTATTAGGCCCAAATGCCCTAATACGTCACTTCCGCTGAATAGAAAAAAGTAGTATTCAAAAATAAATGTAGTCCCAACACAATTGTGATCATGACGAGTCAGTAAGCTAGTATGTAGGCACAGTTGTAATCTTTTTGCAATGGCAACATGCCATTTCTTCTGAAAATGCGTTTATTTGGGTTATCTGAAGGAAAATTTCGAGTCAAGTGGCGTATTAATTTTGCCTTCATTTTTGTGAATTTCAATTTGTGTCTGCAGAGAGAGGGGGTAGTGTCACAATTGACCAATTATTTCAAAAAGTAGATGATTGGCCCCTATTGAGTTTAGTGTCAAGATGTAGCTTAGACATAGCTTTAGAACCTCAGATAGGCCAGTGAGGCCACGTAAATCCATAACTCGAGATAAAAAGTCAGGCGTTTGCCCTTTTGCCCATTGACTAGTATGGTGACGTGAATTAGGGCAGTTTTGCCTGTATTACTGTAGGCTATAAGCACAGTGACCTACAGAGGGCGCTATCACAAACAAGTACTGCACGAACCGATAAATTCCCGGGTATTGTAACGCCCTTGGTGTCGTACGGAACGTATTGGGATTAGTTGTGTACATCAATGAATAAGCACGTTAATCTTGAGTTGTCGCCAAAGCTTGAATAAAGCTCGTGTTTTCAAACTTAATTTCCAGTTCTCGTTCAAAAACTTCTGAATTTTTATACTTCTGTAAACTTGTCATGTCTGACTTGAATTGTATCCTGCTGACGCCATGAACGTATGCAGGTCCTACCAGCAATGCGAAATTTAATATGAGTTCGACTTACTAAGGAACTCCAGCTACGCTACACGTTTTAAAGAGGTACGAGTGACATACGTGTGTGATCCCATATGGATTACTATAATCCCCTATCAATTAGTCTTCCAAGGGACATTATTTCAACTATCTTCATAATACCTTCTTAATCGATCAGGCAAGTCAGTACTCCGAATCATTAGAGAACCACGCTCACAACTCTACAGGTTCACGTACAAGTTTCCCTAAAACAGTGCAAACGTAACCTCTCTATTTTTTAAAGTAAAATGACCCTTTTCGTTTCAGCGCTGGATGGAGGTTGGGGTCCTTGGGGAAGTTACAGCGAATGTTCCAGAAAGTGTGGCGAGGGTCACATGACACGAACCCGACAATGCGACAATCCGCCGACACAAAGAAACGGGCGCCCATGTCGGGGTACCTCTTCACAATCCGCCATATGCACTGGGACTGAGTGTGAACTTTAGTGTGGTTTATTGTCTTGTTACACAAATTGGAGAAAATCTGGACGTGTAATATTCTGACCCAAGGGATACTCTTATTTTCCCATCTGGTTAATGAACACTCTACCTTGCATTTGGTGTTCATGAGCAACCCATTTGGCTTATTAGTAATGATTATGTTATTTGTTTTTATGTGTCTGTTCCTTATGAATGGTTTATCTGATGACATTAGATGTTAATAAGGTAATTTCAAAAATATACTAAATACTGTAGATTGGGTTAATTTGGCGCTACTTAATTTGGCGATTTTGCCATTTTTGGCATATTGGCGGCTATTTAATTTGGCGGATATGCAAAAAAATGTTAATGGAATGTTAAACTTACGCGCTGTTTGCGAATTACCATGTAAATGGGCATGTTTGGCTATTGTAACAGTTTGGCCTTTTTTGTGGATATGTGGTAGTGTGGCTAATAAAAAAACCACTGTTTAGTAAACGGTGTTTACTTGTGGATTGCACGGCACACGTTAAATGTGCTTTGTCCCTAAAGAAATAAACAAAATATACAATTTTATATATATAATATAAAACAATATATTGTGGCGTTTATAAGCCCAAATAAGATGTACATGCAATTTCAAATGTAATGTAAGAATATTACGGTGTTATTATTTCTCTCAAAACTCACAACTCAAAAGTCCATATGAGCTAATAATAATTATCACTGATAAAATAATATCCAGAGTCCATATAAATTGAAACTGATGATCACTATATAACACTGTTGTATCCCGAATATTCAAAGTTCATGTATATTGTACCACTTGTACGTCTTGTATTGTTATTGTATCTTGAACCTGGAATAGTAATCTCCTGGATCCTCTTCTATGTAGTGTAGTATGATTCAAGTTTGATGATGTGAAATCATCCAAGTCAAACTATCAGCTCTCCTGGATCCTCCTCACTGTGTTGTAGTATAATTCAACTTTGATTATGTAAAATAATCTAAGTCAAACTATCAAGTCTGGAAACGACTATCTCCTGAATCCTCCTCAATGTGTTGTAGTATAATTCAACTTTGACTATGTAAAATAATCTAAGTCAAATTATCAAGTCTGGAAACGACTATCTCCTGGATCCTCCTCAATGTGTTGTAGTATAATTCAACTTTGATTATGTGAAATAATCTAAGTCAAACTATCGCTCTGTAAACGGCTATCTCCTGGATCCTCCTCACTGTGTTGTAGTATAATTCAACTTTGATTATGCGAAATAATCTAAGTCAAACTATCGGCTCTGTAAATGGCTATCTCCTGGATCCTCCTCAATGTGTTGTAGTATAATTCGACTTTGACTATGTAAAATAATCCAAGTCAAATTATCAAGTCTGGAAACGACTATCTCCTGGATCCTCCTCAATGTGTTGTAGTATAATTCAACTTTGATTATGTGAAATAATCTAAGTCAAATTATCAAGTCTGGAAACGACTATCTCCTGGATCCTCCTCAATGTGTTGTAGTATAATTCAACTTTGATTATGTGAAATAATCTAAGTCAAACTATCAAGTCTGGAAACGACTATCTCCTGGATCCTCCTCAATGTGTTATAGTATAATTCAACTTTGATTATGTGAAATAATCTAAGTCAAACTATCAAGTCTGGAAACGACTATCTCCTGGATCCTCCTCAATGTGTTGTAGTATAATTCAACTTTGATTATGTGAAATAATCTAAGTCAAATTATAAAGTCTGGAAACGACTATCTCCTGGATCCTCCTCTATGTGTTGTAGTATAATTCGACTTTGACTATGTAAAATAATCTAAGTCAAATTATCAAGTCTGGAAACGACTATCTCCTGGATCCTCCTCTATGTGTTGTAGTATAATTCAACTTTGATTATGTGAAATAATCCAAGTCAAATTATAAAGTCTGGAAACGACTATCTCCTGGATCCTCCTCTATGTGTTGTAGTATAATTCGACTTTGACTATGTAAAATAATCTAAGTCAAATTATCAAGTCTGGAAACGATTATCTCCTGGATCCTCCTCTATGTGTTGTAGTATAATTCAACTTTGATTATGTGAAATAATCTAAGTCAAATTATAAAGTCTGGAAACGACTATCTCCTGGATCCTCCTCTATGTGTTGTAGTATAATTCGACTTTGACTATGTAAAATAATCTAAGTCAAATTATCAAGTCTGGAAACGACTATCTCCTGGATCCTCCTCAATGTGTTGTAGTATAATTCGACTTTGACTATGTAAAATAATCTAAGTCAAATTATCAAGTCTGGAAACGACTATCTCCTGGATCCTCCTCAATGTGTTGTAGTATAATTCAACTTTGACTATGTAAAATAATCTAAGTCAAATTATCAAGTCTGGAAACGACTATCTCCTGGATCCTCCTCTATGTGTTGTAGTATAATTCAACTTTGATTATGTGAAATAATCTAAGTCAAACTATTGCTCTGTAAACGGCTATCTCCTGGATCCTCCTCAATGTGTTGTAGTATAATTCGACTTTGACTATGTAAAATAATCCAAGTCAAATTATCAAGTCTGTAAACGGCTATCTCCTGGATCCTCCTCAATGTGCTGTAGTATAATTCGACTTTGACTATGTAAAATAATCTAAGTCAAACTATCGACTCTGTAATGGCTATCTCCTGGATCCTCCTCACTGTGTTGTAGGATAATCACTAAATCACTAAAGTCAAACTATCACAATTGACAGTTTAAGAACGTCTTATATGGCATCAACTGCTAAGTACACAAACTTCCTTCACAATTAAGTAATCAGTCTACCTACAAATATAGCATGCGAACAACAGCATAGGCAAAAATATTACAAGTCAAAATATGTGCCCTTGAAAATAACTAAGTTCAGTTAATGTTGAGTTATACTGATATTGAAATATTCTAAGTTCAATATTTATTCTCCAAAAAAAAACAAAGTCCAAAATAATGTTTCTCCAAATATTGACTAAGTTCAATAATTTCTATCTCAAAAATACGCAAAGTCCAATTTCATGTGTTCATGAAATTGAACTGACAGAGCTCAGAAATATAGGCTTGATGCCGCCTCCAAACACGGTACTGAATATTCCCTCTTGAGGTATCCTCTACACAAATACACGGGTAGATGGCCAAGTTATCATCTACAGAATCACGGTGTAGCAGTCTTCCCTCTCAGGTATCCTTCATCACAAGTAGATGTCCAAGTTATCATCCACTGAACTAAAGTGCAGCTATGTATCTCCTATCTGCCTCGAGAAATATTCAAAGTCCCAACAACTTTCTACTGAAAGTTGTCAAAGTCCAAAAATATTTCCTTGAAAAACGACTAAGTCCAACTTCACATAAAAATATGAAATTGAACGGAGCTCTGTCCCGAACGAAAGCTAGCTGTGATCTGCCGAGTTTACATCGGCGAAATACTTATATAGGCCTGGTGACGTCATCACTTTTCGAACAAGATTTCAAAGTTGAATAACAAGTTATTGACGCCATATCCCGCTTTAATATTACGCATACAACAAGATTTTAATATTGACTCAAGAAATATAACAGTAATTGATCGCTACTTACTCTAGTTTTACTTCGGTTTGATAGAATCAAAAGCAGGAAGTAAAATAATAAAGCTGCCATGTTAGACTACCCATCAACTACAAATTAGACTGCCAGATAAGACTGCCCGATCAACATAAACAAAATCTTAATTGGATAACAGGAAAACGCTATTTCACCACTGTAACTACAACTAAAGTACTGCAAACGATACTACTATTTAAGATCATAATGATCTCAAGTGTAATAAATGTACAATAACGAGTACACAGCACTAAATCAAAAATCAAAAATTCAAAATTTTGTTACACTCCTCCAATCCAATGATTTTGGTGTTTACAACACCAAGCTTAAAGTACAAAAATAACAAAATTTTGCTAACTTAGCTGCCTTAACAAAATACAACTGTACAATGGTGTTCAACTAGTTGCTACTACAATCCTACACATAAATATCTACATCTAAAGCTAACTACTATTTACAGTATTCACAAAAGTAACTACAACTTTCAGCTGTGTATGACGTGAGACCTCAAGTCTCTAACAAACAAGTTAGCTATACATATCTAACTCACAACTCTGCTGTAAAGTTGCTGTTTAGTTCTAGGAACCCTTCCTCCAGTTAACATCTATATCGCTTCTCTGCCGAGGCCTCTGATATCTTCCTCGATAAACTCTAGCCAAAGGCACCTTTACTGGATAAGTACTTGGCATGCCTTCATGACTCGAAGAACTTTGTTTGCTACCTCGGCGTCCAGGGACTTTGTTCAATCCTCTGTCCCTGCCATGTCTCTGCTCGTGAACCGGATGACTATCTGGTAAATCCAAGGTCCTCCTCTTGGATGCTATCGGTTGATGAGTTACTTTCCCTGCAGGATTGACTGCTCTTTTTCCAAGAATCCGCTTGTCCTTGGTTTCACTCGGCAGGCTGTTTGACGGTTTGGTAGCTCCGACTCCTAACTGAGCAGCACTAGGACTCCCTGGTTCAAAAGTCATGGAACATTTGCCATAGTCCAATATTGCCCTTGAAGCTGCTAAATAGTCACTGCCCAGAATTCCTTCGAACTCAATGTCTGCCAAAAATACTTCTAAATTTTGTTTATGATCATCTATGTGTAGGTCAACGTGCATAACACCTGCAACAGCTAAAGGTTCTCCACCAGCTTGCAAAATGATTCTCTTTTGTGGCTCAAGCTCGGGTCTTATGTCTTCAGGGATCTCTTTGTAGATCTTTAAACTCAAAATACTACTAGCTGCACCCGAGTCTACAAGGAATTCAACCTTCGTGTCACAAACTTTTCCAGAAGCAACAATCTTCTTAGTATCTCTGGAAGATTTGACATCCTTCCCTTGTAGCGATTGGAACCTTACTGTTGCAACTTGACTCTGCCTCTCTTTAGCTTCCTTGATTTCTTCTGCACGTTTTCTAGTGTAACAGTCAGCAATAAGATGTCCGGTTTTGTGACAATAAAAGCACTCCAATCGTTTATAGCCATTTCTTCTGGATTCATTTGACTGGATCTGTTGCTCAAGTAGCTTGATTCTTTTCTCAAAATTTTCTCGATCTTTCTCAAAGTTTTTGCGATCTTGTTCCATATTTTTACGTTCTTCTTCTTGTTTGTTGCATAACTCTTCTAACAGCCTAGTGAGGTTCTTTAATTGGTCTTCCTTTTCTTCCAAAACATTCACA